AATAGGATTGTATAAACCTATTCCTATTCTAATAAGATTGTATAAACATATTCATGTTCTAACACAATTCAATATTTTACTATGGAAAACCATGATAAAGCTGGGGTGGAATATCTTAATCTGGTTGCTTCTTGATACAGCAGCATGCATAACCTTCTCAAATTCAGACAAAGAGGCTTCACAACAGATGCAAAAGACACGCTAGTTTGAGTATTTGATCAGGTTTTGAGCCAAAGATATACAGGGTCAAACATGAAAAGATCTTGGAGAACTCAGGTAAATTGAATCAGCAATATGTGCTCCACACAATTATTGCACCTTGTTACTGCTCTGACACTGAGAACTTTGCCTTCTCTTTTCCTCTCTATTATCTTGTCATCATATTCACTAACATTATCTCCAACAGTTCAAAAGGCAAACCCATATCCCATTCCCCAACAACTCAAAAGCTCATATACAAAGGCTAGACTCACGGAGCATCTCCAAAACCTCTAAGCTGCACACACCATTTGGTGCAAGTAATTTTTTTTTTTAAGTTGTAAAATGTGAATAGTGGCAACAAGCACTTCAACCATCCTCCTAGAAGAGGAAATCATGTTATTTTTAACTGATCATGAGCAGAATGTGATTTTTTCGTAAGCTCGACTTCATTGTTGTTCTCAATAATAAACTGAGATGCTTTATCATCCATTGCGGATGTTATGGTAGTAAGCTTTCTACTAATGTTAAAGCAAGTGAGAATGAAACTGTGTTACCTTTATTATTAAATATTTAGTCACCTATTATATATTGCATACTGGATATTCGAGGCAATGACGATATAAACTTCCTCGGAATCAAGGGAGGAACTTAACTCCAAAATCGGATTCAAAAAGTTATTGTAAGTGATACATTTACAGGATAGGGAGAGAAATAGAGAAGGCTCGATTTAATCTTGTGCAGTGCAAATCTACAATTTCCAGTCTACTAATATGCACCGAGCCATCTGGAGAATAATTCGTAGACAAACCTTCAAATAAGTCAACATTATGCAAGCACCTCAATGCTGAATCTACAAGTCCATCTGAGTGAGAAACTAAACCAGCCATTAATGCAACCTAAGAGACCAAAAAAAATAAAAATTCATCTGAATTAACAGCAGCGCAAAATAAGAATAAAGAAAGAACTAACATTACCTCTGCAGTTTCCAAGTAGAGGTTTAACTGTTTCAGATGAGATGGGATAGATGGTATTGTAACTTCACTGCATGCTATACAAGATTTGACAAAAATGACATCACTAATGTCATTCCGTGTAGCTTTAACCACCAGTAAATTGCTGGAATGAACAATCATTTCCTGAAAAAGCAGAAGATACATCTTACAGCCAGTACAATCTTGGTACTGATGAATACAAAGTTACCTTTCTCAAAAAGAGAAGCAGAAGATATCAGACTCATCAACAAGGACTACTTGGAGCAATAATCAGTTTCAAAAGATCTAAACCAAGCTCAAAACTTTCTACTATGTCCAAATTCTACACCATGCTACCTAACAAGGCAGCCAAGTGGGAGCTTGATAGTACTGTTAAAAGGAAACAACACAAAAACCTACCACCTCAGTCCCATGTTAGTTGGTGTCAGCTCTATGAATCCTCATATAAATAGCATTCCTTTAGACCCGTTGCCGTCCAATATTCAATAATTTTGGTTTTGGAACACTAGAAATTTCTCTATACTTTTTTACTCCCCTTGACATATCATGAGTGTTACTTGAAACAATTGATTGTAGGTAAAAATGTGGACAGTCGAGATAAATATTTCCTAACATCCTTCAATATTTCTATGAAGGAAGACTCCATAGCTTTGTGAGGAAATACTCCACCACACCAGAGCACTTCCAATGTACAGGGAAAAACAGATTAGGGAGAAGGCAAAGTGTCATAAGATCACTATTACATGCACCACATCCAGCAATAGGCACACCAATATGCACACATACACACTCAACGAGGAGAGGAAGTACATTAAAGGTCTTTCAGGTAAACTGGAAAGACTAATTCTCTTCAAAAAGACACAAATAACATCATACACCAACTGACAGGGATAAAAAGAACCGGGGAACAAGAAGTAAGAGTCGAGGATATTGTAAACCTCTACAAAGTGACATCACATTCATATAACAGAAACATAAAAAAGAAATCACATAACCCAAAACTGTCCCCTATGCATAATTCATGGAAGCAAAGAATAAGCAAGATTTTTCAGTAATCCATTCAGGATATCTTCACATAGTTTAGAGAACATTAACCTTGACTTCACTCATGCTTCCAAAAGCTCCACGGCACTGAACCAAAAAATCTAAGTGGCGTTTAACTTCAGAATCATAATCAACCTGAATATTATGATCAAGAAATGTATTAGAATAGGTAAAGGACTAATGTGTTGTAGTTCACATTTCTTGACCAAGCAGCAAGAAAAGGAATATTATTTGCAAACAATATTTCATTACCATGTGTATAAAACGAGAAACTAAATGTGCTGAATGGTTGTTCTCCTTTTCCTTAATAGTTGAGAGATCTATGCTATCATGCAAGGACCTTGAAACTTCAAAAAGGAATTGAATGGTCGTAGGATCTCTAACACAAGAATACCTAACAGAGAAAAAAAGAAGAAGATAATTGACAATTATATTTCCATCAGAGAAACTGACAATTTGTTTTCATTTTCCAAAAAAGATATCTTCCTAAGAAAACCATCAGTTGCCTTTGCAGCAAATTAAACATCAGCTAAGTTCAATCGAAAGATTTTAAGGCCAACAATGTTGTATAGGGGTGAACGTTGGGCCTCTAAAGCACATGTCCACAAGGTCAGTTTGCACATATGCAAATATTAAGATGGATGTGCGGTCATACAAGGTCAGATAAGATCCGAAATGATCACATCCATCAGAAGGTGCAAGTAGCGTATACAGAGAATAAAATGAGAGAATGTCGCTTGAGCTAATTTGACCACATGTTAGGTTGGCCTGCCTCTAGATGCACCGGCTCTTAGATGTGAAAACATGATGATTGAATGTGTTAAAATCAGTGTTGTGAAAGGCGATCGCCTCGTCGCCAATGGCGAGAGGCGAGGCGACCCTTCATCGCCTTTTAGCTTTGTGGCGAGGCGATCTTCAAAAGGCAACACGATGGTGACAAAGGCGAGAGGCAAGAAAGGCGCCACCTTTTGTATTTTCTTTTAAAAATGCGATCAATTTAGGGTTTTAAAAGTTAAAAGGTAATTTTATGGTTTTCGACTAGACTCCTCGGGCGACCAGAACAAAATTTTCCGGCGACTCCAAAGTCCAACCAATACGTTGTTCTTCTTTTTTCTTCAGATTTATTGTTCCTCTGTTTCTTTTTCCTTCTTCTTCTTCAAACTTCAGAGTCACTTCTACCCTTATTTTTTTTCACTGTTTTGATTTTTTCACTGTTTTTTTCTCATTCAAGTTCTAAGTGTGTATTATCTATTTTCAGTTTTTCAATTGAAATATTTGCTAATATGTTATTGCTATTGAGATTTTAATTATTTATATATACAATTTAAATATTTTAATTTTTTGGTATTAATTGGGCTGCACTTCAAAAAGGCAAGCGCCTCGCCGCTCGCCTCGCCTTGTGGTGAGGCAGACAATTGTCGCCTTTTATCGCCTTTCGCTGTCCAAAACACTGGTAAAAAGAAGAGGAGGTAGATCTAAAATCACATGGAAAAAAGTTAACTCAAAAGATTAAGAATGTCTTGGAATTCAGGGAGATCTAGCAAAAGATAGAAACAATGGAAGTTGAGGATTTCTATCAGTGATGTCAACTCAGAGACTCTTGTATTTTTTTATTAGGATATAACCACTAGAGTATATTTGAGAACCCCTTAAATGATACTTAAGTATGGGTACTGAAATTTTATGGACCAATTTTCAAGAGAATCTTTCAGGATGTTCTGATGAGCAATTATGATAATGAAGATTCAAACAGTTGATCCAACTAGCTTGGGATTGAGGTGTGGTTTTTGTCGTTATACTTTAATTTCTCGTCAACAGTAAGGAGGATGCATTTTATTTTTAGGTGAAATGGCAATGAACTTCCCCATCTGAGGGATCATAGTTTTGTGTAGCCATCATACACATTCTAAAGATTCAGTATACTGCTTATGTAATACATACAAATACATACAGGTGACTACAACAAAGAGAGAGCTCCAGCTTCATGTACCAGTATAAATGCTTAGTGTACTTTCCTTGAAATGGTTAAGGGAATATTGTTTGGACAATCAAAGTGGTCATTCCCTTCCCTCTTTTCTAAATACTAAACTTAGACAAAGGAGAAAAATATCCATTTTCCTTTAGAGACCATGCATATCCTTAAGATAAGACTGTACAAAACAACCCTGTTAGGAAGATTGACCAACAAGAAAATTTCGTGATCCATGATAGTTAAGAGTATACTGTTTCTACATGGATCACAGAGTGCGAGAAGTGGTTATCATCTTAAAATTTCACCCAAGGTAGGTGAGTCATCCAGGTCTTACACACTGACTTTAAACAATAGGAGCGCTTTCTTTCCGTCTTAAATGGGGCAAGGGATATACCTATGCAGGAAGAAATGCTGCAGATTATTGCTCGATAAAACAAAAATTGGAATTTAAACACACATTTGGTCAGAACAGTTATACCTTGTAGCAATACTAAGGATCCGCATATTGACGATGGTCCTAGAGCTCCCCTGCATCATGCTTAATATTTGATTGAAATGATTCTGCAAAATGACGATGGTAGATCGGCTCAACATTAAGTGATTCATATCCCCTTCTACCATTATATTATAGAACTGATTGCAGGGCCCAATTTACAAGTAATCATGTCTATTGATGATTGTTTATCATATTTTTATCTCACAACAGCATAAGGTATGAAATGACTAGTAGAAGCATAGGACAGCTAAGAAACATTAGTAAAAGGAAAATGAATTTAAGCAACCACAAAGACAAGTAGCCTACCAATCGCAATATGTGCTCAAGGTTATCAAAATGATTTAGAAGCTTCAGAAGAATTGATTGCAGGCTTGATAGCTCATTCTCACCAATCTCATCATCTAATGTGCGCTCAAATATCCCATCTAATATGCTGTCCAGATAACTATCCTGCGCAAGAAGACAGAATTAGAAAAAATAGCTACACAAACAATTAGCAGCATGTTTTGGGGCTTTCATGTCCAAGGAGAAGATAACAATTAATATACCATCATCATATAGAAATATCAATTCAGATGCAATCAAGATGAATTTCATAGTTGGTAATTGGTGCGCTAGGCAAGTTGACCTGCTTTATTTTGAATAGTGGCCCCCAAAGATTAAATTACCTAATGAACCCCATGTCATATCACCAGCATGGGACACTCCAACTATTATATGAGCTACTCAATCCTAACATGAGCTCTAAGATCAGCAAACACTAGTATCTCCCCTATCTCTAATAGAGAATCAATAACACTTACTAACTTTGAGCATTATTTTGCAAAACAGATACTTCAAAAGCAGTGAATAAAACTTAAAAAGACCAAAAGATAACATAATGATTTTTTCTCCTTAGTTACAAGAGGAAAATAGGCCCATTAAGTTAAGAGAATGACATATGGTATCTGAGGTATATTAGAGATGAGAGCACATCAACATATTGTAAGATGAAAATTATAAGAAAAACACAATATAAACCGAGAATTTATAGGGTATGAAGGACAATGTTTCCATGGGAAGTGTAATTTGATGAAATTTATTTTACCTAGGGAAATCATTTTTGGTTTGCCAGTCTTTGGTTGAATATAGAAGTAGGTAACATATGGTAATCATAGATGTAGTATATGGGACAAGGATAATGTTTGGTAATATTTTCTAGTATTAAAGCTGACAACAATATTTAAATATTGATTGAATCATTTCCACTTTATCAAACACATCCAAATAAGAAAACAAAGAAGAATATAATAAACACATCAAACTTAATCAACCTAAATAAACTCACCCTCGTAGTGTTACCATTACAAGCACTGATTGCTAAAGTTGCAAGGTAAAAAAGGCTGGGGAGTAAAACAAAATGGAAGAAGAAGAGATGGGTGTCAGCAAAATGTGGAGGATTGATTGTCATGTCCTCCTCTCACATAAATTAAGAAGCTGGAACAAACTTCACCACTGATTGGTGGATTAGTGACCACTTGAAGACAAGGATACAGTTCATAGATATTGAGATTTGAGTTAGGATTTGAAAAAAAAAATCTCAATCCTAAAATGTCTAATATGTTTCTTGGAATTTCCGACAACCAAAACATGAATTAATTTAACCAAATTTAGTTATACAAGAACAAATGGAATTATGTACTAGCTTTGGGGTGTAAAGCATAAATAACTGAGACTAGTAACAATGATTGAAGATGCAAAAGGACCATCACATATTTAATTTAAACCAACATATGCTCCAATGACAAGATAGAGACTACAGGAATCACGGTCTAGCAGATGACATCATGCTTTGTAGCATAGCTGCACAAGAGTAAGAGATCTATGGAAAACATTTAGATATACATAAACAAATCATCAAAATTCTCTCAACTTACCATGTGTTTCTGGAGAGCGATATCTACATGAGCGTCTATAACATTGAGGTACTCATCAAGACTATTAAACTGAGAAACAACCTGAAATTATAAATAAATTAAAACTTGGTGAAAAACCATTATAGCAGAGAACCAAGGTTGTACAAGCATAGGGAATCTTTTGAGATTAACATGAAGAAAACTGAACCCAGATAACAAAATAAAAATAAAATCAACTGTGCATACATTGAGCTTCTTTTTTTTTTTGCATGTATGTGGGTGGGTGGGGGTGGGGCGATAAGATTGTAAAAAGTTATGCTTCATGTGGTATAGAGTCAATGTCCTACGCCCAGTAAATATAGCTCGTAAATTGTAAGTGTGACTATAGTCTTTCAGCTCCTAGTTTATCATTTTGTGACTGATCCAACTTGCGTGCACTTTGACTATTTCACTAAGTACAAATGTAGAGTAACTTTGCCACCATTGTTCGAGGAACCCTAGATGCTGTCGGAGTAAAGGATCGTCAACAAGGGCGTTCTAGTGCGTTGTAGATTCTTATCCAAGACTTGTATCATTTGATGATGCCATGTGAATCGCTAGAAACATGTGAAGTGTATGGCTAACCCAATAACGAAAGTTTCGTAAGGGGACTGGAGCAGGCTACCATGAGACAAAAGATCTTCTTTCTAAAGAGATTCGATTCGGAACTCTTATATGTCCAAGGTTCAATATTGAAATAATTTCAGAGGTTTTCCCTGACTTTGTCCGTGTCAACAAACAATTCGAAATACCTCGACTTTTTTAGAACAGGTCCGAGTCAAATAGCAATGATTCGAAGCACTTCTTTTTACACTATTTCGGAAACCCAAGGACTCAATCGTATGGATATGTAAAATACAGGATTTCCAATCCTAGCAGGAAAGGGAGGGAAACGGATACTCAATTTAAAGTGAGTAAACAGAATTCCATACTCGATCTCATAGATACATATAGAATTCTGCGGAAAGCCGTATTCGATGAAAGTCGTATGTACGGCTTGGAGGGAGATCTTTCATATCTTTCGAGATCCACCCTACAATATGGGGTAAAAAAGCCAGATGAAAAGGAATCTCTAAATTTTTAGCCTTTGTTAGGATTTGAACCAGTTTCTCCCACGATCTTCATTTCAGCTTCACTAATAGCTAAGTCACACTCTTCGGTGCTTCTTGTTTATCTTGTTTCTCACATGGGATTAGACCTGAACCCGATGAATTTGACCGTACATAGGTGAAAAAGTCAAATCTTAAGAGTTTGGGTTGAAAGCTTCCCTATCAACGAAGTTTCTGGTGTCAGTTTGGGAAAAGTCCAACTTAAAACAACATATCTCCTAGAATATAAAGTGTTACACGAATCATAGCCCATCAAATTAAAGGTTTTTGAGTCTAGTTTTCAACGCAACAAACCTTTCCTCAATCCAATATTTGTGCAAGAAGTTATGCTCATTTTACTGGACACTGCACAGTCTGCGCGATCGTGCAGCCAATCTTGCCAGGAAAGCAGTGCTACTTCCATTATTGCAGATCAAGGTATCGGCTACGTGACCGCGCACGTGAAAAACACTATTAAAGCATCCCAGGTCATGGTTCACCCTCAAGTCCGAAAATTTTCCCTAAAAAGAGAAGCTCTCAAGAACCCAACTTTCTCCTAGGTTCATCCATCATCCAAGGTAAGATTTGACCATAGAATATTGATGATTTCTTCATCTTAACACAAATTAGTACCTCCAACTCATGGAATCCAGAGATTTTCAAGTAAACTTCTCAAGAACTCAAGTGAAGGATTTTGCAAAGGTTCTAGACGTAAGACATCATCCACGAACTACCATGTAGACTTTAATGATTCTAACCTAAAGTTATGAAATTCTAACAAGGTTCTTCATTAGAACATCCTAGGGTTTTCAAGAAAACCCATCTCCAAGGTTCAAGAACAACTTCTTGCCATCTTTTCCTCCAAAGACCAGACCTTTCTCAAGAATTTGGAGCATTTAAGGTATGTAAGGTTATCCGCTACGTGTGGGAACATCTTCTAATCTATAATTGGGATGGGCCCTACTATGATACCATGTAAGGAAATGGATCTTGAGCCTAACTCAACCCCAAAAAGCTAGCTCATGAGAGGAGGATTTCCCAAATCCATATAAGGAGACCATCCATCCCTTTTTCATCCAATGTGGGACTCTTCAACAGTCTGCATTACTCCAACAAAAAAGATTATTACAAGAACCAAGGACAAGAGCAGATTATTGGGTATATAGACGCAGATTAGGCCTAGCCGCCCTCTGAAAGACCCTCTACTTCTACTTCTGGATATTACTTTTTAGTTGGAGGAACTTTGGGATCATGGATGATCAAGAGAAAAAGCAGGAACTAAAACACAATTGCGAGCCTTGGTGTAAAAGAAAAATATCAAACAATGCTAGTGGCAACAATTTGCAAACTTTGTTGATCAAACAACTAATCAAAGATTTGAAGTTTGCATATTGGTCAAATGAAACTTGTTTGTGATAGTCAGACAACAATTCATATTACATCAAATTCAGTCTTTCTCACAATGACTCGATGCAGTATTGTCTTCCTAGTAATTGTTGTGAATTAGTTATTGGACCCTCTGTGAGATACTCATTCAGACACAATGGTCTGATCCTTTGGTTGACAATATCTACTCAAACAAAAATATTACTTTACAAGAATCAAGGACATGAGAAAATTGCTAGGTATGTAGACACAGATTTGGCCAAGTCACCCTTTGAAAGACCTTCTACTTCTACAGGTGGATATTACATTCTAGTTGGAGGATATGCGGCATCATGGATGAGCAAGAGAAAAAACACGAACGCGAACGCGATTGCAAGATTCGGTGCAAAAACATGATATCGAACCATGGTAGTGGGAATTTGCCAACTTTTTTGGTCAAACAATTAATCAAAGATTTGAAGTTTGCATATTGGTAAAATGGAACTTGTGCACGATAATCGGACTATGCCACATATTACATCAAATTTAGTATTTCATTAGAGGAGCAAGTGCATAATGTCAGTTTGTCAGAGAAAAGATACTCCCATGAGACATTCCACTTAGTTGATAAAGTCAAATTACTCAACTTGCAGAAATATACCAAGTGCCTTGCAAGTCTTTACGTAAAACAAGTTTGGTACATACGAGTTGTATAGACCAACTAGAGGGGAGTGCAAAAGATAGTTAAGTTTAAATAAGTATACTCAGATGTAGCATAGAGTTAATATCCCACCTGTGATGATTACAGCTATGTACATTGTAAAATGTGACTATAAAAGGATTTAGGAAGAAACAGTAGTCTTCACGCCTCATTTCATTTCATAGTTTATCGTAGTCCTCACAAAGATAAATTATTAAAAAAAAGAGAAAGAAAGAGCATCTCCCACCCCAGCCCTCAAAGAAACATAGAACTAAACAAAGGCTTGAAGAGAGACACTGCACTACCTGGATAACCTTCTTCATCACGAGATTGACTTCATTCACATGAGATATGTTTTCGCATAGTCTGAGTCCCAGTAACTTATAATTCAAACACTGTATGGACAGAAATGATTTTAGGCATAAACAGAACCAAAAGCTTCAAGAAGCAGCAACACATGAATCTCAGGATAAAATACCTGATCGAAGGAGTAATCGTTGCTACACTCAATGAGATGAAGAATGTCCAAGGCATTAGAACAAACTATTCTTATAGGAAGTTCCCTTAATAAATGGTGGAGAACAAGCGAGACGCATGATGAGTTTCCAAATAACTCTGATTGATTCCTCGCAAGTCCAAGCCCCATCAATATGTCTCCGATTTGCAAGTGCTTCACATATGCATTACAAGTCAATAGGTTGTTACAAAGTATCTCGATATCGAATTTGCATTTCTTGTAACAGCTAGTGATGTGGACAAAAGAAAGAATTCCTCTCTACTCTAGCAACATTTAATTATTTAGTACTCAAGATTTTGAGTCAAAAATCATGCACAAGAGGAAGGTGCTGCAAAGTTCTCTTTTTGTGCTTGTGCTTATCCCGTAAAAATATTAATTGGTCATTGAATGTGTGCTAGAAGATTAAAGATTACTTTCTGCTGAGAAGAGAAGAAAGAGACCTAGGTTGGTCGATAGGGCAGTTCTGATTTGATATCTTGTCTAGCACTTGCCCTTTTCTTTGGATAAAGTTGTTTAGCCCTTCTCTGGATTGAGGTATAGCAATTAATGAGTAAAAGTTGTTAATAAAGGGACGTGCAGCACAATTTCATTCCCAGCAGGGGAGCTTTTTTTATTTCTTTTACTCATCATACAATTGTTTTTCTTATTTGAAGTAATACTAATTGACAGAGAGAGAAACTTATGTTTATCAATACATTAAATTATTATTGGCACAATCTCGTTCCAAAAGAGAACAGGTCATATATCTCAACCTCACTCCATCTTGAAAAGGAATAGAGAACCTTATAACTTCTAAAGAAATGGATTTGGGCCTAACTCAACCCCAAAAGCTGGCTCAAGAGGTCAGGATTGCCCAAGACATATTAAAGAGACCACCCACTCCATTTAGGGCCGATGTGGGACTCTTCACAACCCCCACCACCTCCAAGACTGGACATTTGGAGCATGCGCAATTTGATACGGGGGGCCAATATAGGAAATGAGAGTTGGAATGGGTCCTTCTCTAACACCATGTTATGAAAATGGACATTGAGCCTAATTCAACTCCAAATCTAGCTCATGAGGGGAGGATTGCTCAAGTCCGTATAGGGAGCCCAATTGGGGTAATTCTGTCATTGATACCATGTAAAGAAATGGATCTTGACTTAACTCGACCCCTAAGGTTAGCTCAACATGTGAGGATCACCCAAGCCAGCTTAAAGACCACTCATCCCTAAAAGGGCCAACGTGGGACTCTTCACATAACTTTTTAATAGGAGCACAAACTTTTTCAACTTGGGAAAACCTTAACAAGCCAATCTCCTTATAGTTTTCTGCTTTTGGTGGAACTCAATGTCTTTTTCTCATGAGTAGTTCCAACATCAAACATCTACAAGTCACCTGAATTATGAGGATACTTATGGAAGTTAGAAGATTAGGATATCTACATGTATTGTGGGGAATAGTCTACTCTGCCGCTAAGATAGACGTGTACCTATTTTTCTCCCAACAACAATCCATTTTCTTGAGCTTTCAAATGATGTGTCCCTAAGAAGTCTTTAATTTCATCAACTTAGGTCTTTTTTTTTTGCATTTGATGGAGATCTAAATCTGAATGGTTCAGACCTAAGGAAATTAACTGCACAGGGGCCAATAGAAACAAATCCTACAAACTTGAGGTCATGACTCTTATATCGCAATGTTTTTATGAAATGACAATTACAAATCTATTTTGTGGAAGTTTTTGCCTTTTGATCAAAGACAACACAGAAGATATTTCAAAATTTAGAATTTCTTTTGTAGCTCAATTTAATAATTTAGAATTTCTTTTGTAGCTCAATTTAATAATTTTGAATTTTTTTAGCTGAATCCTAGCACCCGTATCCATACCCCTGAATCTTAAAATTTAGATTTTGCTGAATTAGACCCACGAATTTGCACCTGAGTCCGAGTAACGCCCCCTAGAATATACATCTCCTGCCCATTTCCCCTGTAACCCATCATTTAACAGACCCCTCACCATCTGAATGCCCATATCTCTCTTCCCCCACTCTATCACGGCCAGCTACCTCAATTTCGAGTGCACCCTACCCTGTTCTCTCCTGCTTCCATCTTTCCTCCCTCTCTCAACCTACTTGTTTCCTTTTCCCCACTCCTTTATTTTTTAACCCTCCCTTTACTACCCAACCTTCACTATCTTTATCTTTTCCCTCCCTCCGTAGTCTGAATTTGCTCTCCGCTTCTTCTTCCCTTTCCTTCCCGAACCTGATCTCCCAAACAGAACCTTCTTTCCCTCTTTGTCTATCCACTCCACTCCTGTTGTGCCAACACTTTCCCCATCCCACAGATAACCTACATCTGGCTCTGCCAATCACAATGTCCAACTCGCTGAACGCATCCTGATAATGCATCATATGTTTTGTTTTTGGTTTCTTAATGAGGTTATCATAACACCCTTTCACATATTAAAAGGACAGTTAATTCTACTAGTGGCATTATAAAAATTAAGTAAAAGAGGTGGAAGCTTAACTACTTATTCCAAACCTCAGAGCCTTGTTTAAATAGTAAATGCATCTTTCTGAATGTGAGAAAACACCAAGGCACAGCACGCGTTGCTGGAAGCAAAACAAGAAACAATAGCTGCTAATTACCAACCTCACATGACTCCTTGAACAAGCATTTCATAACATATTCTATAGCTGGTTCCATCAGGCCCAATTTTGAACTTCGAGTTCCTGATAGAGCTCCAGACGGTTTCTCCGCAGATGCAACATGTGCACCATTCATCAGAAGAGTTTTCATGTCATTCATAGAAATTATCAGATGCCCTGTGAGAAAAAACAAAATGAATCATTCAAAAAATACTAAACCGATAGCATATCAGCTCACTACAGATGTAATACATCCCCTAACATATAAGCAATCAACTCCACCTTACATTAACTGGATCTACATTTTCTGACACTCAGTTTACTCAATAAAAGAATGCTCAAAAGTGGTTCCAAAATTGCATATAGTTCAGCAAAAGGTAGATATCTAGAGGGGCAAAAGTCAAAATCACATTTTCCCCGTACTTATCAAAAGAACAAAAAGATCACATTTCCTATATCTTGGCTGCGAGATTAGGGTAGTGTGTGGATTGTCTACCATCTAGCAGTTGCAGCATTCTACTTCTTCAACACAAAACAACAACATACCCAGTGTAACCCCACAAGTGCAGTCTGGGAGGGTGGCGTGTATGCAGGCCTTACCCCTACCTTTGAGGGGTAGAGAGACTTCTTCCAATATAGAAACTGTAAAGTCCTTGACACAGAAAGGATCGCAGAAGGAAAGGACTATTACTTTGTTCTTGACAGTGAATATACAATTCAAACGAACATTTTTATAGAAGAGGTTTGTTAAGAAACTGTAAATATGATTGGAGGCAGATTCAAGATTCAAATTTGAAGCGTTTAACTTCAAGGTTTTTTGGGCGGAACTCACTGTATTTTTTTAATCTGACTGCAGATCTATTATTTATCAAAATTTTGGTTTACTCTTCACATATATATTTATACTATGCGACAGAAATACTGGGTTCAGTTTAACCTACTACTCAAAGGCTGCATCCGCACTGAATATGACAGAAATATATATTTTTTAAACATGGAAAGATTTAGAACTCCTCTTTCATAGAATTAGGAAGATTTATAGGGTTGTATCACTTGTACTATATGATTTTTCTTTTCCTTTTCAGATTTCTAGTTATCACAAGACCCCACTTTGAGGATTACGTTGGGTAATTAGGAAATGAGGATGTTGAGGTGAATGTGTGGTCAAACTAGGAGTGACAAGATTAGAAATGAGGATATCTGGAATAAGGTGGGTTGCCCTCCATTGCGGACAAGATGAGGGAAGCGAGATTGAGATGGTTTGGACATGTGAAGAGAAGATGCATAGATGCACCAGTAAGGAGGTTCAAGAGGTTGGCTATAGAAGACACGAGGAGAGGCAGAGTTAGGCCGAAGAAATATTGGGAAGAGATGATAAGATATAATAACTAATATGATGCAGCTTCAGGCAACCGAGGACATGACCCTAGACAGGAGGGTCGCATTAGGGTAGAAGGGTAGTAGGTACTGTAGTGTAGTCTTGCTTAGGGTGGCTGGCATTTGCAATGGTACTAGTGTATTATGGTAGTTTTTTTTTACTTGTATCTTTGTTGTTTATGGTGTTTCGTTACCACATGATTTTATTGTACTTTTGCATTGTTCTTTGTTATTTGTTATATTCTCTACACTGTCTCCTTTTTTATACCTTTTTTATACCGGGATTTGTTGCACTTGAGCCGAGGGTCCTTCAAAACAGCCTCTCTACCTCCACGAGGTAGTGGTAAGGTTTACGTACATTCTACCCTCCCCAG